GTTGTGTAAGGGCAAGCCAAGGGCAGTAAAAAGGTAAAGGGCACACACACTTGGGGGTTACCTGGAATAATTGAGGGTTTGCTCTGCCTACATAGCCTCAAAGTTTACCAACAGATACTCACTGTGGGCTCACCGAGGCATACCTCCTGGCACATTTTTTTATATTAGGGAAACACAACACATGGCTTGAATTGTAGGACCTACACTAAACGGCCCACCTGCACCGTGGAACATGTGTGGAGCTCCAGTGGGGCTGCCCACAACCATACTTTTGCCATACTGTCGGAATATTGTGAGCTCACATTGGGACCCCCTGTTAATTCCTCTCCGTTTATTGTGGGCAACCCATATTGTCCCCATGCTATTTTCCACAGATGTGCCCTAATTTTACACTGGTATTGAGGCCTACAGTGGACTGTGCAAGTCTGCCCACTGTGCGCCCACATCAGCCCAAATGAGGTATGTTTGCTGGGCTGTTAAACTGACAAAGAAAAATGTCTCAATCCAAGCTTATGTTGTGCTTTGTTGTCCTCTCAGTTTACCAGGTCGAGGTAGATTCAGAGGTGGAGTCAGTCAAGCTGCCCTGCAAAACCACAGTTTTTGTGCTTAAAGATGCGAAAGTGGAGTGGAAGGACAAAGATGACAGGAAGGTCCACGAGTATGACAATGGCGTTGACCAGCCTGAAGAACAGCACCAGGTTTACAGAGACCGAACAAAGATGAATGAAGAACTGCTGAAAACTGGAGACCTCAGTCTGACCCTGAAACACCCCACAGATGGAGACAACTCCACCTACACCTGCACCGTCTACAGCAGGGAGGGAAACATCCTGATGAAGAAACAAGTAAAGTTGCAAGTCAGAGGTCAGTGCTGAAGAACTGAGTGGAAATCCGGGTCAGCTTAAAAATTATTGTGTTTTTCACTAAGACACATTTCTGGAATTTTTCCCACTTTTTAAAAGCCAAAATCCAGTTTTAAAAAATAAATGTTGAAAGATTTGAATTTTCTGTTAAAACCAGTCAAAAAATACAGAAACCAAACACCTGAAAATCTGAAACTGACCTTGAAGGGAACCCCGGCTATTAAGACATGTTTGCGCTAAAATATGCACTGTGCTTTCAATAACATATATGTGGTATTAAAATACGCCAAATGTTTTCCTTTTAAGCATATTTTATATAAAACCGATTTACCTCTCAATGCACTCTGGGTTTGTGACGTCACACGGTTGCACCGCATCGAGTTTACAGTTAGCAGGGCACTGGAGATTGCTTCTGTTCAACCTTTCCAGTGTGAAAAATAACAATCCGAGAAATAGAATGAAAATAGCCAACCAGTACTTAGTTTAGATGAAGATGAAAACAATCCATCACACGAGGACGCGAGAGTGAGGGAAAACTACTGGTGTCTATGCGACTACTGCTTGCCAATGGCAATGGCGACTGAGAGCGTTTGTTGTAAAGAGCTCAGTTTTATAGCAGCAGCTATCCATGGTATCACCGCATGATAAAAACATGAATAGAATTCTCATTTTTATTATACAGTGAAATTACAATAGTTATTTTTACAGATTCTCCATGCAACACCAGTGCACCAAAACTTTGAAGCCGTCGTGCCAAACTAGGTATCCCCGACAGAATTAGTTTCCCCTGCATCGTGAGCATACACTGGCCTTTCGAAATCATGGACTAACAGTATCCCACATTCATATGTTTTTAGTATCCCACGTTTTTAGTTCATAAACACTTCTTATAATTACTAACTGCTCCAGAAATTTTAGAGATGTTAGCTCTTTATACAGTACAGTTACAGTGGGATACAAATAATATCAGACTGATTCTACCACAATTTGTTCCCCCTGTCCAAAGACTAATTAGTCCTGAAATTTTGGAGGTTTTAGCTCAGTACAATTCTGTACAGTTGCAGAAGGATACAAATAATGATCAGTCAAAATGTTACTGTCATGGTCCTGGGCCATGTTGGCCCAGTATTCTTGGTTCCTTGTATTTTCGCTCCTTATTTAGGCCATGTTTTCTGAGGTGTCCTGTTGTGGTGTTCCCTAAGTGTTTTCCCTTTGTGAC